CCTTTCTGTGGACTGGTGACCAAAACTGGACCGCATACTCCAGATGAGGCCGAACTAGTGATCTATAAAGTGGCAAAATTATAGACTTGTCCCTGCAATAAATCCCCTTCTTAATACAGGACTCTACTAGCTTTGCTTACAGCAGCCTGGCACTGCAAGCTATTCAATCTGTGGTCTACAATGAGCCCAAATCTTTCTCCATTTCTGGCTTCCCTAGTGGCATACCCATAATTGTATAACCCATTTGCTTATTTTTAATCCCAAAGTGAATTACTTTACATTTATCGACATTAAACCTCATCTGCCATATATTTGCCCACTCCCCTATTTTATCCAGATCCTCCTGTAATGCTATACTGTCTAGGTCCATTTCTATTACCCTCCCAATTTTCGTATCATCAGCAAACACTGAAACATTGCTATTCACACCGATGTCGTTAATAAATAGGTTGAATAGCATGGGTCCCAGCACAGAACCCTGAGGCAAACCGCTCATGATACTAGCCCAGTCTGAAAAGGTGCCATTTACAGATACTCTCTGTACACGTTCCTGTAACCAGTTCTCTATCCATGTACACTCCATTCCATCTATGCCCATGAATCTCAGCTTGTGTAGTAAGCGCTTGTCCTTGAACTGGAGAGAGTACAGAGAAAGGCAACAAGACTAATAAAAAGGGGCTGGAGGACATACGCAATGAGGAAAGATTGCAAAAAGTAAACTTGTACACTCTAGAAATAAGGTGATTAAGAGGGGACATGATTTTGATGTACAAAGTTTTTAAAGGTGACAGCAACATCAGTAATAAACTTTTTACTGTAAATTCACTAAAGACGACAAGAGGCCACCACCTGAAATTGGAGGGGAAAAAAAACAAAAAACTTAGGCACAAAGGGTGAAGGGATTCTTTACTGGTAGAGTGGTAAAATTGTGAAAACTCCCTTCCACAAGCAGTAGTATCAGCAGAAAGTATGGAGCAAAGATCATTTAGATACTTTCCTTAGAGACCATAACATGCAGGGGTATGGGTACTCCTAATGCCTGGAACACACAGATACACACATACATACATGCTCACAAAGGTTGAACTCAATGGACCCGTGTCTTTATTCAACCTCAAATACTATGTAACTATGTAAGATGAACAATCTGTTTGCACATATTTTCTTCTTCAAATAAGTGAACAAATCCTCCGTAATATAAATGTGTCTTACAATTAAAGTGTTATTAAACCTTCGGCAGTAAATATAAATGTGGAAGTATACCTCATATTCATGCTTGTGGTCTCCAGCCTGATGTTTTTGCAAAAAAAAAAAAAAATTCAGGTTCATGACAGTAAATATTTTGCCTATTGGTGACTCCTCTCCCTTGCAGGGTCATCTGGAGTCACCCTTATATGCGCACTCCCGGCCAGGACTACACCCGTATGTGGCACCACACAGACAGCACAGAAGTCTTCTATTCTGGGCCCATCCCTTGGTTCTCGTACGAGCACTTGAATAGTGACTCTGTTCTATTGGATTTCCCTAGCCAATGCAGTGCATTCTACCACATGACTTATTACTGTGTAATAAGTCATACTTATTACACAATGTGAGCACACCCTGACCAGAAGTGAAACTCACAATGTGAAACCCGTGCTGAGAGAAAAAAAAACACAACAGTGGTATTGCTAATGTCTTTCCCTGAAAATGCAAGTTGCCCGATTATCTTGGTGATAAGTAAAAAAACAAAATAATAACAGTAAAATAAACAATGCCATGCACCGGGATCGGCACATCAGCAGTATGCCTGGGAACAAACACCAGCAGCTGGGAATTGTGAATGCAGCCTAAATGGCAGACCGCAGTACGGACACTGACTGGGTGACCGCTCTGTTCAGACCTCTACTTAATAAAAAGTTCACTCACCAGACCTTGTATTTTAATTCACTACCCCTGGAATAGGGGAACTGCACCCTTCGTGTCTTGATAAATGCAGATCTGTGGAGGAGAAGGGTGGGATCGTTTAGGTCAGGGGTGATGGGCAAAAAGGATAAGTGCACTTATCCTTTCACATTCCCAACTGAAACTAAAGGGTTTTTTGTATTAACCTTTACACTGCTGTAACGCACATTTTGTACATGGACATGCACTTTAAACATTATATATTTTTTTTAAATAAAGACCCTTTAGAACAAAACGGTGTTTGCTGAAATTTGTTTAAGCTGCAAGATATTTGCGCTACTGTTATTCAAATGTATATTTTCAGTAAAAATTAGTCAAATTTTGGTGCAAACAAACAATATAATTTCCATTTTTTTTTTTTTTGTGGGGAGAAAACAACAGGCAACATTGTGTCAGTCAAAAAAAGTAAACCCCCCAAAAAAAAAAAAAAAATCACCTAATGTAGCTACAACATTACATTGCACCCTCTGGCTAGGGGTAGTAATGTGTAAAAAAAAAAAACTAAATATCGCAGGCCAGTCTAAATGAAGAGATTGTTTATGACTTATGTGACTATAGCCCTCTAGCATTTGTCGTACACGATACAATCTGACTGTACAACGTTCTTTAGATCTACCAACAACCAATGGAAAGCAAGGGCCTGTCTGATTGGATAGAAATTGAATAGATTGTTTAGGTTTGTCTTCATATAATGTGGTTTTGGTAAATCTAAGGGCTCATGCACACCTATAAAAGTGACTGGAGTTTTTGATCAACACCGCACATTGCTGGGGCACATTTTCTTTCTCCCTCCATTTTGTAAAGCACTGCAAAAATTGTTGACGCAATATAAATCCTGTATAATAATAACAATAATAAAAGAGAACTTGGGAAGGGCATGAATGCCGATACAATCTACCTTGCCCTTTTCTCGCTCATTGTACAGTAAGCTGTTATGGTGGGGATCTAACAGAAATATTGTATACTGGGAATGACTGGGCAGTCATGTTTCACTACCTGTTTTGGTGTGCATGTTTGTACCTTATTGTTCTTCCTAAACAAAGAATTAAAATACAAAACAAAAAAAAAACACAAAACTGTAGACACGCTGCATTTTTCCCCCCACAGTGCACTGGAGGTCAAAGTGCCGCAGACAAGCGCACTGCACTGCTGTAAGGAGACCTGAATGGAGTGTTCACAATGTTCACTCCAAATAAAGTTAAAAATATTTTTTTAAACCAGTGCGATGCATTGGAACAATACATCACATCGTCCCCCTTCCAGACCCAATACAGCACACCAGTCTGTATGCTAAAACTCTCATTTTAAGTGTGTGGGCTCATGTGAATGACTGGTGTGGGCTCATTCACATGGGGACTTATGCTGCGTTCTGAGCATTCTTCCTGGACCTGTGTCCACGGACAATCATCTATCCCAAACATGCATGTAATCATACCATGGACCAATAAATGTGGACTGTTGACAGATGAAGCCGCCGTCACCCTGTCATTTATTCAAACGGACACAGCGGCCGCAACTGAACAGGGAAAGGTGGGATTCTACAGATTCTTGCAGCAGGAGTCCACGACTATAGTATAAGTCCCTGTGTGAATGCAGCCTAAAGGTCCCCCCCCATATGTTACAATCTGATCATGTGTCTTTTGATTTACCAAAACTATGTTATATGGTGACCCAACTCAACTATCCAATCAATTTGTATCTAGTCAGGCAGGCCCTCGCACTACATAGTTTTTGGTAGATCTAAACGAGATTGTACAATCGGATTAGCATGTATGTGGTGATCCTAAAAGAGAACACAGATAGATAGTACAATCAGATTGCCGTGTGTGTGTAGTGATCCTAATACAGTCCATGTACCCATTGCACTCAGAACCGCTGCTCCATGAGATAAGAAATGGGCGCAGCTGGTGTCAGCGGGTAGCTTCTGCCAAAGTATAAGTAAAAGATGGACACCGGCACTCCAAAGCAAATCCAGTACGTCTATTTATTCACGTACTTGCTGCAAATGCAAAACACAAGATACGTAGTATATCTACGTTGCATTTGCAGATATACTACATATCTTGTGTTTTGCATTTGCAGCAAGTATGTGAATAAATAGATGTACTGGATTTGCTTTGGAGTGCCGGTGTCCATCTTTTACTTGTATTGATCTTAAGACCCCGTTCACACTGGGGCGTGGATTCGCCGACATGATCAATCCCATACATTGCTATGGGGACCGTTCATGCAACCGCGCAATCCGAATTGCCCCCGCACCATTTTTGCTGCGCTATTTAGCGTGGTTTCCATACAGGTTTCAGAGAAAGTGCGCTGATTAACACGGTTTGGGGTATTTTTTTATTGCATTTCAGCACTGAAACGCAATTAAAAACTCCCAAAACCTCTCTTTTGAGATCAGCGCGGTAACCGCGCTGATCCACAACCACCCTGGTGTGAATGGGCTCTTAAGGAGAACATACATACATTGTACTGTCAGTGTGTCATGCGTTTGGTGATCCTAAAAGAGAACGTACAGGCTGTACAATCAGAATGTTGTGTGTGTGTGGCGATCTTTAAGGAGAACATACAGTCTGTGCAATCAAGATCATCATGTGTGTAATGCTCTTAAAAAGGAGAACATACATACATACATACATACATTATACAGTCAGGTTGTCATGTGTTGTGATCTTAAAAGGAGAACATACAGATTGTACAGCCAGGTTGTGATGTGTGTAGTCAGGTTGTGATGTTTGTAGTGTTCTTAAAGGAGAACATACATACATTATACAATCAGACTGTCGTGTGTAAAGGGAACGTAAAGAACATACATACATTATACAATCAGATTGTATGGGCAGTATTAGGAAGTGTTGCAGACATACATGCTGTCAAAGTTGAATGAAGTCTTTGCGAAGTTTGTTTATATCTTTATACAGTGATCAGATAGTAAGTGGAAGTTGCAGCGATGTGTAGTAAGTGTTCCTGCCTAGTGTGATCAGCATCCTATAGACCGATGCAGGCAGAGGATAAACATAGCATTGTAAATCCTATATTAGAGGCCATGTGCCTACCTCGAAGCAGGCCGATCTCCCGTTACGTGCAGTCTTCAGGGTGTTGTGAGCTGGACTTATTTTCCCTGTGTCTGGAGATCCTCCTTCCTGTGATGTATTGGCCTCTCTCCCTCCTTCCCTCCCCCCACATCCTCTCTGGGTCTGCACACACACCTAGCCCTCTGCAGTACGGGCCGCATTAACCCTAAATCAGCCACAATTTAACCCTCGAGCCGCTAGCTTCCTACTAACACTGAAAAGAAAGGCGACTACAGTACGTCACCCACCTAATAAACAGTCCTCAGTAGTGTCTATAAAGAGCTGACAGCCCCCTCTGCCATGCCTGGCTGCCTCCCATCCAAGGCCAGCTGCTTATCTAGACTCCTCCCCGGCTCAGCTCCTTACTGGCCCAATTTTCTTCATGTAAAGTGTTCGACTCAGTCATTAAAGGTGCCCATACACTGCACGAATATCGTACGAGAAACGCGGGAAATCCCACAATCGTACGACAATCGTGCAATGTATGGAAGGCGTGCGACCGTTTCTACTGTACGGTTGCACGACTTTTGTATTTCGAGCATGTTGGAAAACCAGCCGAGAATCGTACAATTTTCGGCTGGTTTTTAGCATGATCGAGAGATAACTGCCGAACGGGCCGGTGTGCGCACACGCACACTGCCCGTTCAGCATTGCAGTCATCGGAAGTCAATGATCGCAAGTACGATCTGCCTGTCGAAGATGGGCAGATTGTACGTTTTTATTATTACTTTACAACCCTCTCGCAAGACTTTTGTCTTGCGAGGGTTGTAAAGTGTATGGCCACCTTTAGGTCTCATGCAGGGCCCATTCACACAACGTATGCATTGGGGCTGTGCTGACCAATGGAAGACAAGGCAATTTGCCATGTCATGGATGGGTTTGGTTCACACCACCACATTATGAAAACGCTGAACAAAAGTACGGCATGAACCCTGTTGTGCCTGTAGAACTGAATGAAATGTCACATTTCAATAAAGCTCTAAAAAAAAGTAGACAGTGCAATGTAGCGGGATCAGTGTTCTATCATTCCATCGAACCCGTAAAAATTACCGGACTTCCGGGGCAGTGCGTGGGAGCGCACTGCCGGACCAGGCCCGTAAATCTCATGGACCTGCGGGACCAGGTCTGTTAATCCCACAGACCAACGCAGTTTAACATGAGCGGCTCCAGGTCCATAACTCTTACGGACTAATTATTAAATCATAATGACAAAACAAAATATGATTGGAAGTAAATATCTGTGTTAAGTCTTATACAGTTTATGTTAAATAGAATATTTGTATATTTATATAGGGAGATAGCAAAAACACACACGTGTGTGTGTGCACACGCGCTCTCTCCCTATATAAGCATTGTCTTGTATTTAGACAATGTTTGCTTATCTTGGGAGTTCAGGTTTAACAAAAAAATGTCATCAAACATCAAACACTCATTTACTAAACAATGCATCCATTAACATGTGCTTTAGATAAATTGGGGGATTGGAGCAAACAGAATCAGCATCTCTCTTCAGTTTGCTCAGGTAAGATTTGAGAATGAGACAGAGAAGCTGATTGGCTGCAGTGCCAATCTGCTCCAGTTTTGATAAATTCCCCCCACTGTGATATGGAAAGAATGCATTGTTTTGAATGGCAAAATGCAGCACGTTGCATTACAGTGAACAGACCCCACTGAAAGCTTTGAAAATGAAAGAGAAAAGCTGATTGGTTGCCATGGGCAATTGCTCCAGATTCTGCCGACTCCAGTTTTGATAAATTCCCCCCTACTGAATTTTATTCCTTTGTGCATTTTGGAAAATGTAGTAAAATGGATAAGAATGCCTTTTGGGGAAGAACAAAATCACAGGAGACGGAACAAAACTCTGGTGGCAGATTTCTTTTCTATTTGCTTATCTTGGCCTACTTTTTGCAGTGTTACATTTAGAGCTCAGAGTGTTGACAAAACATATGTATATATATTTACATACATTGTTATATTCTACAATATATAGTATCCTTGCAGGGATGGGGGCGGGTTCATACAGAAGGAGAAGGCTGTGAAGTCTGATGAGAGCTTCTCTATCATACAGAGATCAAATGTTCTGATGAATGAAGAACTTTCCCACTAAGGGCCCTTTCACTCCAGACACAGTGCGTTCTGGCCCGATTGTGGGCGGAACACACTGCGGCTGGCTCACTATGTTGTGGGGCCCTCCGACTGCAATGCGATCGGCCGCACGGGAACACAATAGCACAACAATGCCTGCGTTCCGGTCAGAAAAAATAGTGCTTGCAGCATTCTTTCTGACCTGACCGGAACGCAGGCAATGATGTACCATGGGTTTTTGTGCGGCCAATCGCATAGCAGCTGGGGAGTATGGCTACGGTGCCATTCACTTCAATGGACCTGTAAGAATTTTGGCCACACAGTGTCAGCACCCTTTCGGCCGGCATCCCTTCGTAGGGTTGCCACCTTTTCTTCAAGCGAAACCCGAACACTCAAGTGACGCGCAGACATTTTTTAGGGAAGAATGAGTCGGTGCTTATTCATATGTAAATTACTCCGCCCATTCATATATAAATATCACAGTTGAGACTATTTTCAGTGGGGGTCCAGTAGCCCCTATCTTAATTTTGGTTGCCAGTCTTCCTGAGATCTTGTGTCCGGGTTTCTGTTGCCATGAAACCTGGACACAGCATTCAAAACCCGAACTGTCCAGGTGAATCCCGGACAGGTGGCAACCCTAATCCCTTGATCAGCTGATCCAAGGAGCTGGTTGGAAAATCTTTGAATGAAGTTCTTAGTTTTTAATGGTGAACTTCTGTTTTACTTTTGGATAGAGTGGATAGGGATCTAAGCCCGTCAGTTTTTTTTTATTCAGGTCTGCGTCTCCGTAGGGAGATTCCAATTTGGAGTTGTTACCAGAACAGGAATAGAGCAGAAGCTAATTCTGCTGATAAGCAGGGATTTTCTCTCACTTCCTTTTATGGCTTTTGGACAGGAAATGAAGGGACATCCCCATAATGAGGCACAGATGGGGGAAAAAAACGAACATGGATTAAACCCTCCCCCCCCCCCTTTCACCATCCG